GGCTAATTCTTTGAGAAGTGGATGGCCTCTTCCTTCTTCCGAGTCTGTCTAAGCCCAAAAGCTACACTGAACCCTCTCCACCATGGGTAACCCTGCTGGAATTTTGAAACACAGTGGCATAGCCTCCAGCCACAGGATGACAAACTGACAGACAAGTTTGTCTCCTTAGTTGTTCCTAACCGCTCTGCACCTGCCTACCTTAGGCCCTGGCTTTAATATAGAGCCACATCCAAGGGAAAAGCAGCCTCCAAGCCCCAGGCCTACCTACCTCAGGTCCCTGCCTTAATATAGAGCTAGACCCAAGTGAAAAGAAGCCTCCAAGCTCCTGGCCTGCCTTCCTCAGTAGGGAAAGAAATTCTAGTAGTCTATGTTGGGAGCTCTGGTAGTGTAGTGCCTAAGGCACTTGACTGCTAACCAGAAGGCTGGTGGTTCAAACCCACCAGACACTCCTTGGAAAGAAGATGGGGCAATCTACTTCCTTAGTGATATTGCCTCGGAAAACCAAGGAGGGGTCACTATGAGTAGGGTCCGACTCGACAGCACATAACAACCACCACAACAACATGGTATATTCAGTATTCTTCTCCAACACCATAACTCAAATGCATCAGTTCTTTTTACCAAAAAAACCATACCCACTGCCATTGAGTTGATTCTGACTCATAGCGACCCCCATTGGGTTTCTGAAGCAGTAAATCTTTACCTAAGTAGATTTCCCCATCTTCCCTCCTCAGAGTGGCTGGTGGATTTCAACTGCTAATCTTCTAGTTAGCAGTCAAATGCCTTAGGCACTGCACCACCAGATCTTCTTTCAATTCTTCTTATGTCTTCCTTATTCATTGTCCAGCTTTCACGTGTATGAGATATCTAAAAATACTATGGCTTGGGTCAGGAGTTCCTTAGTCCTCAAGGTGACATCTTTGCTTTTGAACACTTGAAAGTAGTCTTTTTCATCAGATTTTCCCATTGTAATATGTCGTTTGATTTCTTGACTGCTGCTTCCATGGGTGTTGATTGTGTATCCAAGTACAAGGAAATCCTTGGCAACTTGTATCTTTTTTCCAATTATCATGACATTGCTTATTGGTCGAGTTGTGAGGATTTTTTTTTCTTTATGTTGAGGTGTGATCCATACTGAAGACTGTAGTCATTGATCTTCTTCAGTGAGTGTTATGTGTCCTCTTTACTTTCATCAAGCAAGGTTATATCATCTGCATATTTCAGTTTGTTAATGAATCTTCCTCCAATCCTGATGCCCTTTTCTTCATATTCTCTGGTTTCTCATATTATTTGCTCAGCATACAGATTGAATAAGTATGGTGAAAATATACAACCCTAATTCACACGTTTCCTGATTTCAAACCATGCAATAACCCCTTGTTCTGTTTCAATGAGTGCCCCTTGGTCTTGTACAGGTTTTTTAAGAGCACAATTAAGTGTTCTGGAATTCCCATTCTTTGTAATGTTATCCATAGTTTTATGATCCACACAATCAAATGCCTTTACATAGTCAATAAAACAGACCAAGTCCATCTGACATCAGCAATGATATCCTTTGTTTCCTATCTTCTTCTGATTGGACTTGAATTTCTGACAATTCCCTGTCAATGTACTGCTGCAACCATTTTTGAATAATTAGCATTATTTTACTTGAGTATGATTTTAATGATATTGTTTGATAATTTCCCCATGCCGTTGGATTGCCTTTCTTTGGAAGGGGCACAGATATCCATGACTTTCAGTCAGTTGGCCAGATAGCTGTCTTCCAAATTTCTTGGTATATTTGAGTAAGAGCTTCATTTGTTGAAACATTTCATTTAGTATTCTGTCAATTTCTGAAGCTTTGCTTTTCAATAATTCTTTCAGGGAAGTTTGGACTTCTTCCTTCAGTACTGTCAGTTTTTTTTTTTTTTTTTTTAATCATGATCACTTGGATTGATATAATCAAGTAAATTCTTACACACTTGTAAAATGAAAAGGAATTCCAGTGATATTGTGGTTAAACCATTTAGCTGCTGACCAAAAAGCTGACTGTTCAAACCCACAGCTGCTTTGCAGGAAAAACGTGAGGCAGTCTGCTTCTATAAAGATTTACAGCCTCCAAGACTATAAAATCCACAACCCCATGGGGCCATGGTATTCTGCCCTATAGGATCATTATGAATCAGAATCAACTGGATGTTGTTGTTGTTGTTATTTGCTGTCAAGTCAGACCCAACTCATAGTGACCCCTCCTTGGGTTTCCAAGGCAGTATCACTACGGAAGTAGATTGCCCCATCTTCCTTCTGAGGAGTGGCTGGTGGGTTTGAACCACCAGCCTTCTGGTTAGCAGTCAAGTGCCTTAGGCACTATGCTACCAGAGCTCCCAATCAACTGGATAGCAGTGAATAAATAATAAAAAGAAACAAGAACATGCAGTCTGACATGGGTGATTTATTTCAGTGATTCCGTCTTTCAATTGGCATGGAGACTCCATAATCATGAGAATAGGGAGGAAGCTTTGTCCTGTTTTCCTCGCCACCAAACACACATGCACACATACAGTCACAGCCTGGAGGACAATGCTTCAAATCCACATCCTCAGCACCATGTTTAGGAATAGTGTCTTGTTAGACATTAGAATTTTGGAAGGCTAGGGTTTTTTACACTGGACATGTGAGGTGACAGTTTTCCTGTGCCTAAAATTGAGTAGCCTCAACAATTGCTGTGGGTTACAAATAATATAGATAACATTGAGAAGAATGGGGAAGCCAGACTTGATTGTATTCATGAGGAACCTGTACATAGATCAGGAGGCTGTCATTTGAACAGAACAAGGGAATAGTGCGTGGTTCAAAATCAAGAAGGGAGTGTGTCAAGGTTGTATCCTTTCACCATACTTATTCAAATTGTATGCTAAGCAAATAATCTGAGAAGCTGGATTATATGAAGAAGAATGTGGCATCAGGATTGGAGGAAGACTCATGAACAACCTGTGATACGCAGATGACACTACTTTGCTTGATGAAAGTGGGGATGACTTGAAGCACTTACTGATGAAGATTAAAGACTTCAGTTGGCAGTATGGATTATATCTCAACATAAAGAAAATGAAAATCCTCACAACTGGACCAATAAGCTGTTGTTGTTGTTGTTAGGTCAGGTCGTCTTCGACTCATAGCGACGCTTTGCACAGCAGAACGAAACACTGCCTGGTCCCATGCCAGCTCCACGATCCTTGCTATACTTGAGCCCATCGCCACAGCCACTGTGTCAATCCATCTCATTGAGGGCCCTCCTCTCCTTTGTTGACTGTCCACGTTACCAAGCATGACATCCTTCTCCAGGGAATGGTTCCTTCTGACAACATGACCAAAGTAGGTGAGATGAAGTCTGGCCATTGTCACCTCCAAGGAGCATTGCAGCTGCACTTCCTTTGGGACAGATCTGTTAGGTCTTTTAGCAGCCCATGGTACTTTCAGCATTCTT